AAAATTGGATGAGAAATTTAAGGTAAGGTCAATTGAGGAATTTCATCGAGCACTCGACTGTTTGAACAGTCGGATAAGTAATGAAACACAGCTGACGGGAACAAAAATTTTGTAGAAACTTCTGAAAAAAGAACACACTGGATAGAACGCAAGATACGTCATCACACGGTTGCTATAGCAACCAATCTGTTCAAAAGCGAACAAAGCTCGACCGGAACGAAAACTATCAAAACTCACGTCTCTCAAACTGTGTACAGAACAGTTCAAGCAAAATATCTCCGTGTACACAGTCGGTCGATTTCAATTCGAATAATTTCATTTCCACAAAAAAAACGGATGAAGGACAAACCCGGCAAAGAGAAACCAAAAAAGACAGTGAAAATAATCGAGCGGAAAACCAGCGAGGGAAGACGAGACTAAATGGTGGAACAGGTAGCAGAAGCCACAATTAACAGAAGGAACAGAGAACGAGGACGGTTCAAAGAGGAACATCGGGGGAAACGTGTCGGACAGCTCTGACTCAGATGTACCGCAGGTCGAGTGGCGGAAAATGGAATTATACAACAAGAAAAATCCTAAAACCGGACCATCAACGTCAACACCAACACGAACAGAACGAACCGCTCAAGCTTATGTCATTTTGGTATTTAGTTGGATCGGAGCGTAATGACAAATCAACTCCAGGAACCATGTTAGAACTGGAAGCGCCCTCAAAAATGACCAGCCCACACAAGAACCAAGAAGATGTGAAAAGAACAACATTGATCGAGGTGGACTTAACAGCAGACAGCCCAACAGACAGCCCGGAAGTCAGCCTAGTAGCAGGAAGAAGACTCGAACGCAGGTCGAAGCAAGAAGAGCTTAGCGTGGCAAAGAAGAATGAAGGGAACAAAGTACTTAACCAGTCGAAGTTATTCGATCGAAGTCTACTAGCTGAACAAACCACCAAGGACACATGAATGGAAAGGATCATTGAACGGAACGACGCGTCATTGAACGGAACGACGACCATAGTTTTGAATTAATGGGACCCTATACGAACTCACTATGACACCAGATGTCGGCAGTGGATGATTGTATCATCGTGGACGGTCGGCTAGTTGTTCCAGGGCTTCTGCGGTTCGCAGTACTAAAACGGATTCACCGTGGCCAGCCCGGGCAGGAAGCGATGCTAGAAGTATCGAAGTATCTGTGGTGGCCACACATGCATAAGGACACTGTAAACATGGCCAAAGAATCCAGAAGTTGCACTCGTTATGGTAAGAATGTTTAAAATATATTATAGAAGAATGACGCAACACCACTCCTACTGCTATAGCAGCCGGTTCAAGAATTACAACTAGACTATGCGGGACCTTTAAAAGATCCCAAGGGTAACAAAATTTACCTACTTGTAGCTATAGATAGATACTCCAAATTTCCGTCGGTAAAAATTACTAGGTCAACTGGGGGTAAATCATCAGTGAAAATTCTACGTACTTATGTTGATACTCACGGAATACCAGAGTCTGTAAGAACCGATCAATTCTCTGGCTTTAAGGGCAAAACAATGCAAAAATGTTGTTCAGATCATAATATTGAACAAAAAGTCTGTCCAGTGGGGAACCGCAGGGGTTGTGGATTAGTTAACGAACGATACAAACTATCAAAAGAAGTTTGGGAGTTATGTTTTTGGATGAAAACGTTACATCGATAAAACTTTGCTTTAGCACGATAATTTGCGATCTTAGATAAAGCAAACAAAAGACGATTCAATGCTCTCCGTTTGAAGCCCATTTTGGACGCCTTACAAAATGTGAATTTAAAATCTTTAGGGATAAATTCGTGAAAATTTCTGATCGTTTAGATAAAGAACACCTGGAGCGCTCGGCCCTCACTGTATTACAGCTAAAGAAACGTATCGATCAGTCGAGAGAAAAAGTCAAGATCGTACAAAAGGGTCAGAATAACGGAAATCAGTCCGCTATTTAAGTCAGAAGTCGAATCAGCGAAGGATAAGGATCGAGCAAAAGCACTAAGAACCCTTATTGAAGCCAATGCCTGTTGGTACGCTACAACACCCCCGCTAATGATCTGAGACGAATTGTCGACGAAACTAGCACAATTGACCCCGAGTTGCGGAAAGAACTTCTATACTCATGGGAACATGGGTTTATTGAGGATAAACCACAAGAACAACCAGAACAGCGATATCCCAACCTGCTACGGAAAGACGAGAACAGGAAAAGTGACGAAGCTCTAATGCACCCGTTGAAGGGAAAAGTGCGATCAGAAACCCTTCATACGGTAGAAACGGCTGCAGGTGCAGTTCATCGGAAAAGTGACATCGCCGAATCGAAAATAGATGCCAGCGCAGCAGGGGAGAAGAGTCTCAAGAAGGACCAGTTAAGAAGCCCACATGGCGAAGAACAAAAAAAAAGCTAAATAAGAAAGAAAGCATAATACAATTGGAGGAGATTGAATCAGAAGAAGATATGCCACAAATTCAACAAAATTCGGAAATGAAAAAGGCGCTATATCAAGATAGCCAAGAGAACGTGACCTCAAAGGACATGGAGGTAAACGGGGGGTTTGAACTTAGCCGTAAGCGGGCAAAACCGAACAATTCAGAACCACTTTTGGACAAAAAGAAGATTTTTCTTGACACTAAGGGAGAAAAGCAAAAAGAGAAAAAACCAACAAGTCAAGAAACCAGAAGACAAAAAGCTGCTGCAGCAGTAAGCACCGATAAACTAACAAGGAAACGAGACAACAAGGTGCTTTCACGACCCTCGGAAGCGGACATGACCAACTCGACAAGTCCACAAAAAGATCCAACGGACAGCAGCAAAGAGATCACGAGACACACATCTGCAGAGAGAATATTGGAAACATTTCAAAGCCACGATTTTACCACAAATGATTGGAACAAAGTGGCCGATCAGGTATTAACTAGAGGTGTACAGAATTCTGTAGAAGAGATACTGAAATCTATGGACGGGGCGAGCGATGATGTGCTCAGCAATACTCCTCCTGGGTTATCCGACAAGTCAGGCGGTAGCGAAGTGACAGTGAGGCGTAGCGGACGACAGAACAAAAGTAAGGCGCCTAGTCGCTACGGAAATCCAGTGAAGCACTCAGTTAAGCTCATAAATTTACAACAAGATATCACGGACTTAAACAAGGCAGCTCTCGAAGCGTACAGAATGAAATTAGCAACAATTTGAACAGACGCGAATAAGCGAATAGAAACAGAACTTGGATTAATGGAAAAACATTTGCTTAGAAGGAAGTTCGGGAGTGAGGCCTTAGACATTTCAAGAACCTGGAACGCATCGTAGTGTGTACCATCGCACTTTGAGAAAAATAGTGGGAACCAAGAAAATAGATAGAAGCAAGAGAAGTAGAAACTCGAAGAAAAAGGAGTTAAAAACTTATTAAACGGAGTACTAAAACTCTTATTTACTGAATAAATTTTTTAGCTATTATATAAAATTTAGTTGTTGTCGGGGGAGTGTGGTACAGCACATACTGCATGTGCACTAATTATTTGTAAACCTTGCTGTACACTAACTTTGAGATTCAAATTGCTTTTTGTAATCATATATTGTTTTTATACCAAAGTCGCTTAGTGTTGATCCCTGAGTCGATTCAGTTGAGCAGCAGATCTCTGTATGGCAGATACGGAATTCGGTCTGACCTAAAAACTTTTCAGTGAAAATCAAAAGAAACAGTTTGAGAGACTAAATTTACATCTTGAAACCTACATTGTTTTAACACCAGTATTATAGTATTCTATCCCTTACCACATTGGTAAGCTGATATCTGATCCCTGTGTTTGGTAAGCCTTGCAAAATAAATGATTTTTATTCGTGATGTCTTACATTTCGGGGTCTTTTTCTTAATTAAATTTATTCGAAATACAAAATTAAGCTATGCGAAGCGAAATAGCTCCAAAGAGGTTGCTAACCAAATGCTTTGGAAAAAAAAGAGAATAAAATGATTTTAAAAATGTTTATCATTTTATGCTAATTCGTTTTGTTCACATGCTCCGCGCTCTTTAATAGCTTTTTAAGTTGTAGGGCAAAATTATTGAAGTTTCTGTTTTTTAATTTTTGTTACAATTATGAAAACATAGGAATATTTAGCATTTTGTTTTCAAATTATATTTTATTTTTGGCTTTTGTTGAGTGAAAACGCCCCATTTTACTTTAGGGAAAAAACCGTAAGCTCTTCACAAATGCGATTAGATTTGCTAATAACTTGAACTATAGGTTTCAGTAACATGTTTTAGAGGAAAAAGCTGGATTTGTATAGGAGCAAACGATTTTAGATATTTTTGTTTGAGGCTACAGATGGAGCTTGCAAAAAATTTAAACGAGAATGGTTGATTAAAACAGTAAATTATTAAAACCGACCTATAATCGAAGGGGAATCTATAGGATAGTTGCAAGAATGGACAGCTATTCTTGCAAATCGTATAATTTAGCAAATCTGTACATCAATCGTATAAAAGAGCAAATCGTATAATTTTGTGTAAAATTTCCTAGTAAATTTGAAATCAGGCCATCTTGAAACTTGAATTTGTCTGAAAATTTGTTTTATGAGATTTATATGAGAAGTATATGAGATTCAGAAAAGCATATGAGATGTTTCTGAAACTGATGGACCTACCGCGTTAATATTTTAATTAGATCAATTCAGCAAAAAAACCGAAAAAATTGCCCGAAAATTTTAGCTTTCGGATAGAAGAAACTAATCAGAAAAAGAGCGCGCTCTTTTGCTTATTAGTTTCTTCAACGAGAAAGCTAAATTTTTCGGTCAAATTTATGTTGAATTGCCCCATTTATGTGGTATAGACCGAATACAGATACAGTGTTGCACTGGTTCGCAACTCATTGTAAGCATGTGGAGTAGATTGTCATGAATTTTGTGGTGCTATATAGAGAACTGTAAAAAGTTGGTAGACTGAAAATTCGATTATAAAATTCTTCTGTTGAAATTTTTGCCGTAGGTTTTACCTTGACATCATAGAGCAGTCTTATTTGATTGTCCATCCACTCTTCTACGTCTAGTCTCTTTCGCAACAGGTGTTTGTTGTACCTGATGGTAGCCGGGTACGGTCTCTGCTGTTCCCCCATCCCAGCCGAAAACCTCACCACTCCCCCGCGTGTCGCAGTTTCAATTCCCCCTCCCCCTCCCCCTCCCCCTCTCTCTCCTCGTTTATCCTCTGCGTTCCTGCACTCTTGACTGATGACTGCTTCCGCTGGGGAGGACTGAGCCATTTCACAAATGTTTAGGGATGGTTTAATGATTCCTCGGTTGCTTTGGGATTAGTGATTTCGATCAATTCTCGTGTTTATCTCCCCTGAAAGAGAAATAAGGCTACTATGTTGTTTCTTAACAAAAAAGTGTGTGCCCCAGTCATGTTGGTAGTGGCAGACGACTACGCCTCTAAGCACATGCACACTACTGTATATCAATCACTCCGCATTTAATTCAATTTGATCTGTTCGGGATGCAGGAAGTGCTTCCTTCCTAAAATCACATCTTATCCTGCAATATTTTAATCATTTACCCCTATTACACTTTGCTCATTTATGAATGACTATTTTTCAGTTTGATGCAATTATTTCTGATGGCGTCTTTGCCTTTAGACCCTTGGGCGGAAATGCTACCCGCTGATAAGACCGAGTTTCGGTTGAGGTCATCACCCAATGTCCGTAACATGCGTCAATCTTTATTGTCCTCAGTTCTAACTCAGCCTGTCTTATTAGAAGCTTCCCATATTTTTATGTTAAGTTGGTTATCCTTTGAACAGATTTACATGGAAAAAAAGTATAACCAAAAATTGATTTTCATTTTAACTTTCTTTGAAGCCCTATATGAATTTTACCATCAAGTTATACTGTAGCCATTTACAACACATAGTATCTGCAGAATATCCATGAAATAAATGTCAATTTCAATCTTCGAAAAAAAATCTGAAAAAAGCAAGATAACATATTACAGTTTTGAAAAAAAAATTGAATTGGATTAATAAATTTGAATTAATTATACTTCATTATTTTTTTCCTAAAGCTTAAACAAATCTGTTAATTACTGTTCAACTTGCAAACAACGCACGCATGTTAAAACAAGAATAGCCGGCTACTGTGCAAGTACCACAGATTGTTCCGACCGTAATCTTTAAAAAAAACTACAATTTTTTTTTTCAAATAAGTGTTTTTTTTCTGCGCAGTGTGATAAAAGTTTTTGTCTGCATAGTGTGATAAAAGTATCTGATGTGAAACTATATTTTAGGCATATTCCACACTCATAGTAATATAGGCAAATTGAACAAAAAGTTTTGCAGAATATTGACTAGAAAAATAAAAAAAATCAATTAAACACTTTTAAAAAAGTACAAAAAAAAAACATTTTACTATACCTTTACAATATCATGATATGTTTGTGGTTTTGACAAACTGTTCCGGATTCCGCAATAAAATCTTTAATGTCGTTTGAATCGCTAATGAAAGGGTTTCAATTTGGTATATCAATTTGGAAGCATTCTGTTGATTACTTGTGGTACCTGATTATGCGTGGAAAGCAAAAAAGAAAAGAAAAAAGAAAAAAAAATTGAAACACACCCAAATACAAAGTTCTTCCTCTTTTTTCAAATGGTCAGAACAATTATATAAAATACAAAATAGTTGAATTAGTCCTTTGTTGTGGCGAAAAATTTCCAGTTTTTTTAAAAATAAATTACAACTCAATTTGACATAAAACTGTTGTTAAGTAATTTTCGGCAGCTATGACCTCCTTGGGAAAAATAATGATGTCCTCTGGCACAGAAAGCTCTGAAATTTAAGTACTTACGAGCGTAGAATTAGTACTTGAAAATTTCCATATCGGCTTGTAAACTCAATTTGAAAGCGGGCTTTAAAATGTAATTAGGCGACTGCTCTCAAATCACAAAAAAAGTAGTTTAGTGGGTTTTTCAGTTAATCTCCAATAATTCGATGGGAGTTGAAACTTTAGGCTCTTAGTTGTCTGTAAAAATGCAAAGACTGAAAACTAAATTGCTTTGCTAGGTACTAAAAATCCTTTTTCATTAACTAGATTCCATTACCGTAAAATGTGCGGGAGAAACCTGGTCACACTATAAAGCTTATACGTAATTTGGTCGTCCTTAAAAGTGGAAGGTTTTTTAATTTATAATCTTTATTGTTCCGACTTTCGAAGAAAACGGAATGTTTATTTAGTTCTCAATTCAGTTGTTTACTGTTATTCGAAAGCAATTAAGTGAGCCCAAAGCAATGGATCAAGGAAAGACTCAGTACTACTCGCCCCAATTTATTCGCAGACGCTTTGTAAAGAATGCGTCATCGTCGAAAAACAACAGCTTCGAATGGTGCCAGAGAGTGGTCCACAGCAGACATTGTTTTGTGCAAGAGAGTAGCAAAAGCATGGACGATGCCGCTGTCGCTCGAGGAGCTCCGCAGCTGCAGCAACAGCAGCAGAGTAGTTTCGACGACAGCAGAATCAAGACTGCGGCAGTGATGAAAAAGTGTACCAGTGACGACCCACTTCACATTGGGGAGAATAGACCCACAGCAATGGCAATGACGACAACAACAAATCATGCCGACCAATCGCTACTGGTCAGAAGTCAGTATTTTTCCCCTCTTTTTGCTTTTTGTTTTCTGCGTGTTTTTCAATGTGCAGCAAAAAGCATGCCCGAAAACTAAACTGAGTTGAGTTTACCCATGCAGCAGTTTTTCAGCAGTTTTCTCTTTCGAGCATTTTTTGCAAGAAAAAAAACGAGTTACCTTTTTTAAGAAATCAAGATCAAATAAATTATGCTGGGCATTCCAAAAAGTTTTTTGAAGAAATATTAGAAGTAAAGTTTTTTAATAGAAGCATGAAAATTAGTTCAACAAATAAATACTGGGCAATAAAGATAGATACTCAAATAAGAAAAACTAATCTGATAGCACAGAATGATCTGACCAGCGTGATTAGAGTAAAGGTATTTTTTTAAAAAAATTTGAATTTTATTTAAATCAAATTTTGCTTTGGTTTTTTCTAACTTTTATCAATTTTTTTGTACAGATTGCAAATAAGCAACGTAAAAATGGCAGCAGGGTTGAAATTGAGCTTAAACGTCACCAAATTGCGTGAATTTTGGTCTAAGAATTGGAGGAAATTTCGGACTAACTTTTCCGGACGATAAAAAACGTTAAATTTTTGTAAAGTGAGTTATGACCGAAGTGTAACTCATAGAGTAATTTCGGATAGGGTACACCGTCTGCTCGTCACGCTATCTTATTTTCGGCCGGATAGATTCGTGCAACTTCTTAGTCTAATACCGATCCTAATCTTACTCTTATACTATCTAGTCTCAGGTTGTTTAACTAGTCTCTGCTAGGCTCAATAGATCTAGGGTATACTGGTTTATTGCGGCTGCTGAAGTGCTCGGGAGAGTCCAACTAATTTCTAAGTTAAATTCAAATCTCTCTGGTGCTGAAATTACAAGTAACTTCAGCACTTACAAATAAGTGGGTTGTTAGTTAGATGGATCATGATTGGTTAATATTAAATACTTTACATTGGTAAAACATTTAATTTATCCAATCATAAAATGTAGTTTAGATCAGGTTCCACCCATCCGGGTTTTACAGAGTTTTTTAGAATAGTTCTTCTGCAATTCGAAGGATGGATGATGGACGTTTGTTTTTGGCGAACATCATAATTTTCTTCCGTTTCCTCTTTTGTTAGGGAAGTTCCAGGAAGCTGGAGTTAGAGACATAAGACGTTGTGTCTTCTAGTGACAACGACTACGTCTTTGCAACAAACTCAAATCTGATTTCAGAATGGTTTGCTATGTCAGGTTTTTCTGTTCTGCGTGGAGAACTTCTTTTGTGTATGATCTAGTTTGGGAATGGCGTGGAGATTGTGCGTGGAGGGGATGCCTGGTTACTCGGATCTGTACGTATACTTGAACATCGAGGTGGTCATTGGTCTAGTTCAATGAAGTCCTTTTCTGCGAGGTCAAGTCGTACTCTAAATCCTTTGAGTTGTGATTGTGAGCGGCATATCGATTGTAGTTGGTCATTCTCTCTCGAGTGTAGTGGGGTCGTCTTGTCTTTTGATGTTCGTCCTTGGTGTTGTATTCTGATCTATATATTGCATCATGTGATTTTACATTTTATAAAACTTTTATTAGTTTAATATTTTTTAATAATGATTTTAGTTAGTTGTTTTCACAAAAGCTTTTTGTTTTAGTTCGGTTATTTTGAAGAGTTACTCACACTTGAGTAGCTCTTATTAAAAATAGTGGTGTGGTCACAAAGCGTGGATGTAGCGCGGTGGGTTAGGCCGGCTATAGAGCATGCTCAGGACGTCCTTCCTGGTGGGTTAGGCCAGGAGTGGGAGTATGATTTCATGCGGTTTTTGTGAGGGGTCCTGTTATGTGACAACGTTTTATGTTGAGTTTGTTGTGGTCTTACTTATGTTTTGTTGGTTGTGTCCTTTTTTCAAAAATCAAATTGTTTGTGGTATGGGTTTGTCTTTCGACTTTTTTGTGTTTTATTATTTCTTTCTTAGACTTTATAATAGTCTTCAAAAGAATAAATTATCCAGTTTTAAACTGGGTTAATCCGGTTTGGGTACCGTTGGTTTCTTTTTCTAAGTCATGCTGTTATTCTATGATTTGTGGTATTTAGTAAGCTGCGTTGGTTAGTTTTGTTTAGTATATGATTCCTTTCCAACCGGGTTAAAGGAAAGTTTGAAACATGTTATTATATGTTAGAGTTGTTGAGTGTGAAAACTTGAAACTGAAATTCATTATTTTAAACAATTCTTCGTGGGCGAGCTGTGCGAGTGTGGATAGAATTTCTGTGCGAATGAATGAAAATATCAAAAGGTTAGTACTGCATTTGCATTTATTTAATTTACTACATAGAATTTAGAAATTTACTGCTAGTCATGGGGGAATATTAAGATACAAATTTTCATCATAATTAGATTTACTGCTTGTGGGGGAAAATTTTAGAAATGAATTTACTGCATTGGTATTAAATTTATAAATTTATAAGTGTAAGAGATTAATAGAATTTTTGAAATCTGTTTGATGAAATTTGCGATTTTTATTTGTCTTTTGTGGTTTTTGTAGGTGATCGTCGGATGAAGGCTAAAAATCTAAAGAAAACATGAATAAAGTATGGTGAGTTTTTTAATATTTTAATTAGTTAGTAATATTCATTTAATTCATACTTACCTGTTAGTCGTCGGGGAAAAAACCGTGGGGGAAGATGTCGTGAATTAGTTCTGAAGTTGTTAGTAGTTTAGCTAAGATGCGGATGATATTTTTAGTTTGAAGCAGTGGCCAAAGCAATTGAAGTGCCTTGATAGTGGTTAGTTCTTCAGTGCCAACTGCAAACTCATAAGGTGTGTTTTGGATTAAGTTATATAATTTGTGATTGAATTTAGTGTTGTGGATGAATTCTAAAATTGGGATTTCTATGGGTTGTACAAACTCGTGCGGGATAAGGAAGGGTCGGGATTCTTCGGCGTTGAAGGTCTTGGTAATGGGACAGAAGATGTACATTTGGGTTATGGGGTCATAATTACGAAGAATACCATGGAGGTTAGTGTCTTTAATACAATATGTGAAATTTAGGAAAAATGGTGAAGTGTATTTGGAATTAATGAATTGAAAACGATGGTGTGGTTGTCTAGAGGGTGTGTGTAGGTCAAAGTGATTTTGGATGAAACGATAATAACTATATGTGTGGGTTTGTTTAGTGCGCAACATAATATCGTGTGAGCAGTGTAAATCTCTTTCGTGTGGTGCAAGGAAATGAAAGGTTAGTGAAAATATTTGGAAGCGTTCTTTAAAACTTTCGTATGCTTGTGTGTCTGTTAGTGCTTCTGAAATAATGTGATCAAACTTTCGGTCGAAGATGTTTAGTGTGAATGTATATGGTGTCTTGATGAAAAATTTCTCGGTAATTTGTGGATTAGCGAAGCGATCGTCGTCTAAGAATTGATCTTGGTTAGCTCTGATGATGTTGTGATCATAGTATTCGAGTGTATATTCGTTAGCTCTAGGTGCAGTGTGTGTTTTTAGTGATTTTTTATATCCAACGTAAGTAAATTGTCTAGCGGTTAGTGGTGTAGTGAGTCGATATAGCATGTCCGTATTTCGCTCTATATCGATGTGAGTGTTAGATAAAGGTAAGCAAAGAGGGTTAGTGAAATGATAATATGAGGTCCAAGAGAGAGTAGGCATTAAAACGTATTCATCTACGAAGTTGCGTGTTTCGTTAGTGTCGTGGGGGGTGTTTAAGGTGTATTGTGGGAATGAGGGTAAGGTGATGGCTAAAAATTCTTTTGTGTTAGTATGCTTGGGGTGGTTGATGTATTCACGGGCTGTTCCTGGTTTTGCTGGGAAAGGATGGTTGGGGAACTTTCTTTTAAAAGTGCGGTAAGCTCTATTAGTGTTGAGTGAAGATTCAGTTGATGTGGATGATGGTGCTAATGATTCAGTATAAGTTGAAGAGGGTGTAGGGGTAGGGGGGTTGGATGAATTTATTGTGGAGGAGATTTGGTTTATGGTTGGGGTATGAAGGTGGTAGGGTTGTTGTTGAAGGGTAATAAAATTATCTAGCTCTGGGGAGATTCGGGGGGTGTCTGGAGAATGAGATGATTGGTCAGAATGGTATGAGGAATAGGTTGGGGTAACTTGGGAAGCATAAGAGGGTGTGGGAGTAATTGGGTCAGGGTTATTGGATAATATGGGTTGAAAAGGGGGTTGAGAAAAATTAGAAGAGTTATGAAAATTATTGGATGGGGATGGTTCTGAGTCGGCGAATTCATCGGGGGTTTCAATATTCGGGTTATTTAGCTGTGAGATGGAGTATAAAACTGAGGTGTGTGAATTAGTGTCGGAATTCATGCCTGATGTTACATTACTAGATGGAAAATCGGGTGGCGGAAAAGCAAAAAGTGGTATTATTGGGATTGGAGAGGTAAGATTGGTTGGGTGGGAATTTGATCGGTGTAGTGATCCAAGTTGGCGGCTCATCGTGGGCTAAAAAAATGATTATTTTGAGACTGAAAAGCGGTGGTATGGGGTTGTTCAATAATTTGTTCATAAGTATTATCATCTTGTGACTGGTGTGTCATTATATGTTGAATGGGACTTTGTGATGTGGTGAGTCGAAAATTTGGATTATGTGTGATGGCTAAGTTTCGAAAATTTCGTGGGACTAGGGATAGTGGATGGTTATTTGGTAGGGCTGGTAATTGTGGTGCCGTTGGCGTTATGTCTACATTGTTATGTTCTTCGTCGTATGTATTTTGTCGTGTTGCTATTTTTGTGTTATATTCTTTTATTTGTGCGTCTAAAAGAATTTTGTTTATAGATGTAGAAAAGATTCCAAAAAATCCTGCAAAGAGTATGCGTGCTACACTTGCTTGTCTGTTTACTTGTGTGTGTATAGCACATGTGTTGTAGATTCCTTTTAAAAGTGAGAAAAGAAATCCAATAAAGTTAAACATTGCGTATAAAATAGTCAATTTTTCTAAGATGTAGTAGGGCCATCCTAGAAAATCGAGGATCTCATTTTTGAGTGTAACAAAGCTAAAAATGTTAATTGGTGATA